TATCACAAAGACAATCGCATACCGAACCCCTCCATCCCTGTTGTTACTTTTCTAAAAGACTGTCTGATTCGTAAAAGAATTACGACGTCGGGAACAGGGAACTATTGGCTATTGTGATGGATTTTAAAGAATGGAGGTACTTGTTAGAAGGAGCTAGACACAAAATTCTGGTTATAACTGATCATAAGAATCTCTCCTAGATAGCGGATGCTAAAAGGTTGTCCTCTCGTCAGGCCAGATGGTCTTTATTTCTTTCACGCTTTCAGTTCATTATCACATATAGGCCTGGATACCGTAATGTCAAAGCTGATGCTATCTCCAGACAGTAAGAACCTTTGGAGTCGATTTCCTCCGCTCCTGAACCCATTGTACCTACATCTAAGATAATAGCTGCTACCCGTTTAGTTATTTCGTCTCTTTTCCTTGATGGTATCAAGACATACCAATCCCAAGCACCCTCTGAGACACCTGTTGGTAGATTATATATGAAATAAAAAGACAGAAAGAAGTTATTAGCTTTATTTCACACCACCAAAACTGCTGGTCATCCAGGGGTTACCAAAACATACAAGGGTCTCCTTCAACAGTTTTGGTGGCCTTCACTTAAACAAGACGTGGTAGATTATGTGCAGGCTTGTTGTGTTTGCACACAGTGTAAATCCCCTAACATTAAACCCCCAGGACTCTTAATGCCACTTTCTGTTCCCAAGAAACCATGGACCCACTTATCCATGGACTTCATGGTAGATCTTCCTTCATCTGATGGACAGACAGTAATTTTGACCGTGCCTGATAGGTTCTCTAAGATGGCACACTTTATTCCCCTTAAAAAACTACCTTCTGCGGTCCAGTTGGCTCGGGTATTTGCCAAGGAGGTTTTTCGCTTGCATGGTATACCTCAGGATATCGTATACGACAGGGGTCCTCAATTTGTCTCTCGGTTTTGGAGGGGCTTTTGTGCTGAGATGGGGATCTCCTTGTCATTTACTTCCTCCTATCATCCACAATCTAATGGAGCTGCCGAACGGGCAAATCAATCTGTGGAGTTATATTTACGCTGCTTCACTAATGCACACCTGGACAATTGGTCTCATCTCCTTCCCTGGACTGAATTCACCAAGAATACCGTGACTCATTCGTCCACTGGCTTAAGTCCTTTTATGGTTGCTTATGGGTTCCAACCCTCTGTCCTTCTCGGTGTGTTCTCCAACAAGGGAATGCCCACTTTGGACGAGCACCTTGACTCCTTGCGGAAAATGTGGGATCAAGTCCATGCTGCTCTCTCCCGTGCGGCTTCTACTCAGAAAAGATTTGCTGACCGTTATAGGTGTGCGGCTCCTTCTTATGTCTCGGGTGATAGGGTTTGGTTGTCCTCTAAGAATCTCCGCCTCAGGGTTCCCTCGATGAAATTTGCGCCCCGGTTCCTTGGTCCCTATAGGGTATTGCGTAGGGTGAATCCCGTGTCCTACTCGCTGGCCTTGCCCCCTTCCATGCGTATACCTAACACTTTTCACACCTCCCTTTTGAAGCCCTTGCTCTGTAATCGATTCTCTGGTCCTCTCAGGCGTCTGGATTCCCTCCACGCTGTCTCCAGTGATGTGGACGAAGTGGCTGCTCTGCTTGATTCTCGTTTATCTCGGGGTCGGTTGCAGTATCTGGTTGATTGGAAGGGTTACGGCCCTGAGGAGCGGTCTTGGGTTTCTGCCTCTGATTTGAATGCGCCCTCTTTGATCCGCTCCTTTCATGCGCAGTTTCCTTTGAAGCCTTCAGCTTCCCGCCCATTGGGCGGTCCTTGAAGGGGGGGTTATGTCAGGGCTCCCCTCCTTCTACCTGTCGGCGAGCAGAGTCTCCTCTGCGCTGCGTGCCGCTCGCGTCCTCCTCCTCGCCTCCTCCTCGTCCCTTCATTTATGTAAACGCCAGGGTCACTCACGTGAACTGGCGTTAAAGCCACAGTACCCTAATCACAGTGGGAGGTATAGATATCTGCCACGTGTGATTATTAATTCTGATTGGAAGTTATCCAATCAGAATTAAGCACTGCAGGTATATACTTACCTTCCCTGTCTCTCAGTGCCCTGTTGTGGTCTTGTGATACCTGTATTGCAGTTTTCTCGTGTTGCTCTCTAGTTACCGATTATTTGGTTCGTTATTCCGACTTTCCTGTATTCTCCACTCATTTGACCTCGGCTTGTTTCTCGTTCTTCCGTTTTCTAGCTCCCTTTACTTGGCTTGTCTCCTGACTATTCTTAGTGTGCTTAACCCGGCCATTCTAAGGACCGGTATAGCACCCTTCCTCTCTGTGACCTGTTAGCGTGTTAGGTTCCCGAATCGTGACACCTACTACAACTACCACTATTATCAATGACTTTCTTATTATTTTACAAGGACATTCTTTGTAATTATAGACTCCAGTTACTACTATTTGCATACAACTGTATTCCTTAGCAATACCAGTACTGCCTAGTTATTTGGCTCAACCTGTTTTCAAATATTATAAAAGACTGCACTGATGCTAAAGGGGGCAATACACAGTATTAAAAAGTAAGGGCATGCAGATGTCACATATTCCGCACATAAAAATGTGATTAATGGCATTAAGTTTTCTGACAGGAATAGTTGTGCCGAGCAAAATTACTGTCCTGACAGGAAAATTTTTGTCGAGCAGCAATCAAGACACAGGAGGGTTTGTGCTGAGCAGCAATCATGCAAATAGGAACCTGGTAATGGCCTTTGGGTTCAAAGGCCGGTTACAACAAATCGGATGCACAGGCGGCGTATTTAGGCCCAGTTCTCTTGCTCAGTGCCCTGTCGTGGTTTCCCTTGTAGTTGTCCGAGAGCGCTTTATTGATTCTGTTTTTTCTGGTTATTTGACTTTGGCATTGTTTTTGACTTCCCTGTTTTCTGGCATCCCTGACCCCTGGCTTTTCCTTATCGTTGTGTTTCTTTCTGTGTCCCTTGACCTCGGCTATTCCTGACTATTCTTTGGTACGTTAGTCCGGCCATTCTAAGGTCCGGTATACGTTACCTATCAGTCCTCTGTGTTACACAATCCTACGTGCTGGATCATACTGTAATCCTGACAGCAGACTTTTGAACAGGGGTCCTTTCATTTATTTTTTCGTTGCCATGTTTTGTTTTATGATCGTGTTATAACCTATAGTTGAATATAAATCCCATAAGAAACAAAAGAAATGTGTTTTGCCTGCTCACTCATGTTTTCTTTCAAAATGGTACATATATTATAAATTCGCCAAGGATATGCAAACATTTGAGCACATCTGTATATGCAACCATTGACATCTATGCAGTGCATTGATATATGCAACCATTGACGTCATGCTTCTTCGGCTAAAGCCGAGTGTAAAAAAGTGTGTAAAAGATATTTCCTTAAAACAAAACAAAAGTTAACAAATATTATATTCTTGCAAATGTTTGTTTCGTGCCTTGACCAGAAAAGGAGAACTATGTCCAGTAGCGCCTGAGCACAAATATTTCTTTAAACAATGTAACCATGAAAGGTTGTGTCACAGTGGACAGAGTTTTCAAAAAAATTATTTTTTTTACTCAGAATAAATAGAAGCCAGTGTGCGAGCTCATCTAATTTGAGAAGGAGACAAAAACTTAAAGGATCACCTATCCAGAGTATAAAACATTTTGCAACATGTATTGTGATTTGCACAGGCAGTAGCCACATCAAGGGCCACCAAAGACAAGTCCACAATAGGTGCAGATACTTTTGCATTGTGCAAACTAATCTCTTGCATTGAGCCTGTTTAAGAGGACTTTAATAGAGCACTGTGCATAGGCTACCTAAATAGGTCTATCTGGGTAGGTCTGCCAGTCATCCCACAGTGAACACATCTTTTTATCTGGATCTTCTCCAGGACTCCATTTTCCACTTGGCTGCCCCTTTTCAAGTCACCTGACACACATTTTATCACCAGCATGCCCTCTTTATGGGCATTAAGGCTTGCAAATACCACAGGAGTTGCAACACTTGAGAATTTAAAATTTGTCTATCCTCTGCTCTAGGTAAAAAGTTATTGTACCTATGCTTGGTTTATTAGTTCCACCACAGAGTGGCAACCTCTTTTGTCTGATTTTTTTCCCCATGACTTCAAAATTTAAGTAATCATGGGATATTTTGGGCTCAAAATAACTTACACTTTGATTTACACATTAGTAAATAAGCTGGCAATTGCGGGAATGTTTCTATTTCAGCTGCTAAAGCCTAAAATGTGCAATTTTTAAAATAAATACTGCACAGTTCTTCATTTATTGAATAAAAAAGCTACCACTACATGCCATGATATATGCTGTGCAGCACAGAAGACAAGGAGAAATGTCAGGTGAAAGACACTCAGTAATAGCAGATACATGGAGGGCTATTTTAAGGTTATTTGACAAAGCAAGCCACTATACAAAAATAATTTTCAAAACCAACCAGTAAATGCATTTCTTGACTATAACTGGATGAATCAAAATAATTAATATACAATTTGGCATTAATAAAAAAAAAATTGGAAAAATAAATCAATACATATATATATATATATATATATATATATATATATATATATATATATATATATATATATATATATATATACATTTGCTGTATATAAATATTATACTATAAGGGTATTACCATAAATGCAACCCATTCCTACACTTTCATAAAAAGGGCTGCAAAAAAACCAACACTGAGGAACAGTATAAATATATCAAATGTTTGAAAGACATTTGATATATTTATAAACCAATGATAACGCACGTGCATCTTCATAAATTTAACAGGCCAAACAAACCAAACAGACTGCATACAAAAACAACAAACAAAGTATTTAGAATTTACAGAATAACTGACTTTATAAAAACTAACTTTAAAAAAATGAAAAATAAATAAATAAATTAGACAATTCATTCAGCCATCCACTATGACTTTTAAGATATGTTAATTTAATGGAATACAATCACATGAAATACACAAACACGTACCTTTTGAGGAAGTGGTATTTGGTTTGTTAAGTATGTTCTGAGGTGCTATTTTCTTGTGAAATGTTCTTCACTGTGAGACAAAAACGATTGTTTCGAGTGATATGTCTTATCTCGCGTGCACAGGGATGGTTTTAAAAAAAAAAAAAAACGCCAAAAACATAAACAGTGTTGCAGCAATAAAGAAAAGAAGGCGTAGCTTCAGAATTTAACCATTTTGTTTTCAAATTCATGTAATATTTATTTTCCAATAGTTTTAAAAGTATAGGTGATAGTTAAATCGTCGAGGAAATTTGTCTTGCTGCCATTGAAAGATAAATTCTCTCATACAACCAGAGGTTTTGTATCCTAATACTATCTACTAGGCTATAACAAAATGTTCTTGCACTATATACATTAAGCAAAAACAATAATACTGTACTGTGGTGCTCTGTAAACAAAATGTTCTTGTGTTGTATAATGCATACAGCAATACAACACTGTCCAATCAGTGCTGACTGAGTTTTCACATAAGATTGCAAACCAGTCAGCAAAACAAAAGTTCAATGATGAGGAAGAGAAAATGTAGCTTGTTGGCATTAAAAAAAACCCTGCCAACCACAAAATTAACCTCTTAAAACCACACAGCATTCTATGCCGTCCCTATTTGGCCGTCTCTAAACGCCACAGGGTGGCATAGAACGCCCTGGGCGGTCTTGCCTCCCACGTGGCCGGTGGCACATGGCCGCTGCAGATCGCTGTGCCTGGGGACTGCGGTCTGCAGCTTCCGATCGCAGTGACATCAGTATTTACCATGTGTCAGCCGATTTTTAAAATCGGCTGACACATGTTGCCAGCCGCATTCTCCTGAAGCAGATCGCGGTCGGGGGACATGCCTGGCCCCCCAGGCAGTCCCCTGCGGTCAGTGACCGCGATCTGCTCAGTCTGATCGCAGTGAGAGGCTGTCTCTGCGATCTGAATGCAGAGAGAGCCTCTCCCTGCGATCTTATCGCAGTGACAGCCTGTCACTGCGATCAGAGTTACTATGTGTCAGCCTATTGTCTGACACATGTAACTACAGCCAGGATCCCCCTGCAGATTGCGGTGGGGGGCATGCCTGGCCACCCAGGCACTCCCCCTGTGGCCAATTACCAATTACTGATCCTGTGTGTCTGCCAGTGATGTAAAATCAATGACTGACACTGTCTCTGACCCACTCCTGTAATAAAAATAAAATATTAGTTAAAAAAATAAATAAATTACTGTTACAAATAAAATATACTTAGATCATGCATATTATATATATGATCTAAGTATATATATATACACACACACACATTTACACATACACTAAGTGTATTTTAATATTAATATATATAATTATATATATTAATATCAAAATACACGTAGAAGGATATTGATTAAATATATATATAATTATAATTTTATATATATATGTTTATATATATATATATAAAATAAAAAAATGTAAATACGTTAAAAAGTAAAAAAAATTAAAAAATATACATATGTGTAATTTTGTTCTAACTGTATTTTGATAATATATATATATATATATATATATATATAGATAGATAGATAGATATCAAAATAAACGTAGAAGAAATAATATATATATATCTATATACATAAGTATATACGTATAGATCACTATATGTATACCTATATATAAATAAAACTAATAATAAAAAAAAAAAATATATATATATATATATATACACACGTATATATAAAATAATTTTACATATATATTTATATAATAATTTAACATAATTAGATCCTTTTATTAATTACAATTTGCAGGACCTGCCTGACAACCCAGGCTGAAAGTATAGGGAATTTAATTTGCTAGCACTATATTTAACCCTATAACTTTCCAAGACACCATAAAACCTGTACATGGGGGGTACTGTTTTACTCGGGAGACATCGCTGAACACAAATATTTGTGTTTCAAAACCGTAAAATGTATTGCAACGATGATATCGTCAGTAAAAGTGAGGTTTTGTTTGCATTTTTCCACACATAAACGGCACTTACACTGACGATATTATTGCTGTAATACTTTTTACTGTTTTGAAACACAAATATTTGTATTCAGCAAAGTCTCCTGAGTATAACAGTACCCCTCATGTACAGGTTTTATGGTGTTTTCAAAAGTTACAGAGTCAAATATAAGGCTTGCGATTCAGTTTTTTCACATTGAAATTCGCCAAATTGGTGTGATGCTTTTGTGTAATGTCTCTTTAATTGGAACTCAACTGCAGAAACAATAAGTTTCACCTCCTTTATTTTATTGAAGTGAACAAGGTAGACTGTATCTTTAAATACACATGCAAGGAAAAAATGCAATGCTTATTTGTCAACAGAGAGTTTAGAGAAATTAAATACTATAATAATTGATATGACTTGCTTTCCTTGACAAGAGATTTACTTAACTTAGAAGCACTCTGGCACTGGAAGGGTTAATTCACCCAATGGAGGAAAAGGAAGGAGTCTCTTTTAACAAACTGCAGTTTAGTAGTGAGAGAAAGGAAGTCCGTTTGTCCAAGCCGAGGTCTGAGAGAGGAGAAGGTAGAAATCCGTTTACAAGCCGAGGTCTGGGGGATGAGAAGGTAGAAATCCGTTTACAACCCGAGGTCTGAGAGATGAGAAGGTAGAAATCCGTTTACAAGCCGAGGTCTGAGGGATGAGAAGGTAGAAATCCGTTTACAACCCGAGGTCTGAGAGAGGAGCCGGTAGCATCGAGTGGGGCAGCTGATCTTACTGCCGCACCTGAGTGAATAATCCAGCCCTTTGAATCTGGCGCGGTCTTCCTAAGTATCGTGGAAAGACCGCGTCAGAAAAAAGGGCGGAGCTAAGCGCAGTGAACCCGGAAGTGGGTTCCGGCGGCAGCATGAATGTTAGGTATACCTGACAATTGGTTATGTTGCCTTTGAGACCGCATGGTAGCCCAGGAATAAGAATTACCACCATGATGGCATACCATTTGCAAAAGTAGACAACCAAAGGTATTGCAAATGGGGTATGTTCAGTCTTTCTTAGTAGCCACTTAGTCACAAACACTGGCTAAATTTGGCGTTCAAAATAGTTTTTTGCATTTTTCACACACAAACAAATATTAACGTTAACTTTGGCTAGTGTTTGTGACCAAGTTGCTACTAAAAAAGACTGGACATACCCCATTTGCAATACCTTAGGTTGTCTACTATTGCAAATGGTATGCCATCAAGGGGGTAATTCTCATTCCTGGGCTGCCATACAGTCTCAAAGGCAACGTAACCAATCTGGCGAATTTCAATGTGAAAAAAAATGAAAAGTGTAACATGCTATATTTGACCCTGTAACTTTCCAAAACACCATAAAACCTGTACATAGGGGGTACTGTTTTAAATGTGAGACATCGCTGAATACAAATATGTGTATTTTATTGCAGTAAAAGCAAACAGTATTATGACATTTAAAGTTAAAATGTCACGTAGAACTAAGAAAAGTTTTTTAAAAATCTTATTTTCTCTCATTTTTTTTATATTTTATTCATATTAAATTATGTTCCATATCTAAATATTTGATGTTAAATGAAAGCCCTGTTTCCCCTGAATAAAATGATATATATTAAGTGTGTGTGCATTTAATATGAAAGAGGTAAATTATTGTTGAACAGACATATAGTAAAATTCTGTGGTTTGTTTAAAAAAATTTTGGATCACAACATTTGGCTGCGGTCTTAAGGGGTTAATGGTGCTGTCTCAGGTCAATAACACCCACTAAAAGGTGTAAATATACATTATAAAAAAAAACCCACAGAAAATAGTCATGTGCTCTGACTTCCACTACTCTTGGGCTATAGTAGTTTTCAGGCCAAATAGATATTGATTATTGAAATGTAACCACACATGTCAATGTCAAGGCAATCATTTTAGCAACTGAGGCTGCCCAAGAGTAATGATAGTTTGGGTCTAGGGATAATTTCTCAGTTTTTATTTACATTTGTAATTACACTGTTATGTTACAGTGCTAGTGCTCATCCCATCTGTGCCCTTAACACCTTAAGGACAAGGCCATGTTGTACGTTAAGGACCAGGGCTGTTTTAACACTGTTGTGGTGTGTTTAGCTGTAATTTTCTCTCTTTCATTTACTGTTCCCATACAAGTTATATATTGGGTTTTTTTAGGACAAAAGGACTTTCTATACATACCATTATTTGTATCATGTCATATAATTTACTTTACATTTTTTTTAAAATATGGTGAAATATTGAAAAACATGTTTTTTTACTTTTATTTGAAAAATCTTTTACTCATCTACAAAAGAATTTTGTCCCGAGTTTAAAAACACTTGCTGTTTCAAAATATATATATTTTTTTTTATTTATTAATAGTGACATTGTAACACTTTTATCTGCAGGGCTGGCATTTCCTATAGGTGACTTAGGCAGTCACCTAGGGCTTTCCTTAGGAAGGGGAGCCTCCAGGAGCTCCGGCCCCCTTCATGCTGCAGTCGCTTGACAGCGCTCTATAGAGAGCCTCAAGCGGCTGCAAAATTGCCTGGGTCAGTGTGTCCATGAGGACGCCGGCCCGGGGGCGCAAGATATGAGGGATCATCAGAAGGGAAGCGCACAGCGCTCCCTCCTGCCAGTCCCTCAGTGTAGCGTGATCGAGCTCTGCTCTGGTCCATGGTACAGGAGCATCCATTTGCTGTACCCAGACAGACTGACAGGAAGTGTTCACTCAGCGAATGGAAGGAGAGACCACCTGGGGGAGGAGGGAGGGGGGGAGAGAGAAGGAATGAGAGACCACTTGGGGGAGGAGGGAGGGGGAGAGAGAGGAAGGAGAGACCACCTGGGAGAGGAGGGGGGGAGAGAGACAGAATAAGAGACCACCTGGGGAGGAGGGGAGAGAGACGGAAGGAGAGACCACCTGGGGAGGAGGGAGGGAGTGGGGAGAGAGGGAAGGAGAGACCACCTGGGGAGGGAGGGGAAGGGTGAGAGGGAAGTAGAGACCACCTGGGGAGGGAGGGGGGAGAGAGAGGGAAGGAGAGACCATCTGGGGAGGGGGAGAGAGAGGGAAGGAGATACAACCTGGGGAAGGTGGGGAAGAACACCAGGGGAGGAGGGGGGAAGGAGAGCCCACCTGAGGAGGGGAGGGAGAGGCAAGAGCACCAGGAGAAGGGGGAGGAGAGACCACAAGGGGGAGAGGAAAGACCACGAGGGGGAGGAGAGACCACTAGGGGAGGTGGGGGAGGAACAGGAGAGACCACTAGAGGGAGGAGAGGAGAGACCAGTAGGGGATGGCTTTCTATCCTTTACACAAAATCACACTGCATCCACTACACACACACTGCATCGCCTACACAAACTAGTATCTCTATACTCTACATTCCATAGGCACGCACATTAGATCCTCTATGGGTGAACCTTATTGGCATACTCACGGTCAGGCCATGGGGGCTCAGACCTTGAGCTGTGTAAAGGGCCCCCAAAAAATGGAGCTCCTTCCCGTTCCCCCAGAACACTGATTTTTGTGACCACAGTTGCAAACAGACTCCAGAGAGCCTGTTCTACACTAGACCAGTGGAGCCAGACTGCAGCCAGAGCCCATCATCATCCTCATCTGGTTGCAAGTAGGCAATCCAGTATATTATTAGTGACACTAATTTCTAATTCACCTCACATTAAAAGGACACTATTGTCCTCAGAACCACTGCAGCTTAATGTAGTGGTTCTGGTGTCTGTAGCCTGTCCCTGCAGGCTATAGACAGGCTGTAGACACTGTGTGCAGCACTGGCTTTGGTTCATATGAGAGATCATATGGGTGGGGCATTGTGATGCCAGATGGTGGGAAGTGCATATGGGGAGGGGGGAAGCAAATTGTTCTTTTGCCTACGGTGGCAAAAATACTTGCACTCGCCCTGGTTATCTGTCATAAATCTCTGAATCACACCTCACATGTACATGTTTTTTTTTTAAGTACAAAAC